GGCATACTAGTAAATCTTCCAATTGGTATGGTGAATAGGAGCATGAATAATGGTCCCGATCTTGGTATGAGGAGCGGGATAGAGATCTGTAACACTCACAAAGAGATTGAGGGAAACGCTCCTGTGGGGAGGGAGATCATGACTCCGATGAGTACCTAGAGTAGCCCTCATAGGGAACTGCATAGGAGGCTGGAGCATAGTGGAAATGATGCCTGCTTCAGGATCGGGATTGACTCCGATGGAACCGGCGCCGAAGGGACAGACATGGTAGCTCGGCAAATTGTGAAGGTCTATCCTGACGAGCAAGGTCAGCTTCGAGGAAATCCGATGGTAGGTAGCCACAGACGGACAGTGATCTAGATGGGACATGCATCACATGTGTGGGAGGGGCTGCCACCGTGGATGGGGTTGATGACAACGTGAGCAAAGGAGTGGAGTCCTGCATGCCCATGGTTGCCATTTCCGAAGGTTGCACCGAGGCTGGGATCGATTTCGGGACCACTGCAGGCATTGGTACCGACCAGTCCTTTGACTTGTGCAATTTCTTCGGTTTCAGCACATCCGGAGACCAAGCCAAGAGTCCTTTGGACTGTTTGTCGGTCTTACGCTTTGAAGCCGTCGAGGCCAAAGATGCTGCCAACTTAGCCAAATCTTCCCTCTGAGCTGGGATTAGCGGTGAGGCTCTAGAACCCGAGGACTGGGACATCACCGGGCACAGGGAGGCCTCCAGGAGGTGGCTCTTCAGTCTCACAGCTCTGTTCTTTCTAGCCTGTTTCATAAAGTCACCACAATGGGCACAGGAGTCAGGTTTGTGAGACTCGTCCAGGCAGAAAAGACACAGGGAATGTCCGTCCATGGTAGGGATCTTCCCTTCACAATTTCGGCAATGTTTAAAATGAGTCTTCCCTTCCATGCGCCACCGGCAAGGCCCAGAGGGAAGGGGGTGGGGGAAGACGATGACAAGGGGGGAACTCACAGAAAAGTCCTTTTTTGTTTGTTTTTGTAGAGACACTGTCGACGGAGACAAAGAAGACAATGAAGATGGTGAGAATGGAGAAAAACGGAGAAGAGGCCGATGAGGTAGCTCAGCAGAAGATACGCAGTGAGTTAGGTCTGACCAGCACAGCGGTCAAGAAGAAATTGAGTGGGAGGGTGTTTCCTTCCTCGTTCCAGACATGTACAGTAGATGTCTGCTCCCCAGAGCATAGGAACGGAGCATGCTAAAACCAGAGTCTAGCTCTTGTAGTTCTCCAAGGTCGGGTTCAAGCGCAGCCGCAGAACCCATGTATGGGACTGCACAGAGACCACGAAGAAGATCAAATTAGTTCAAGTTTCAATCCCAAAGCTCCTTGAAGAACAGCAGTATTTGTGCCACTGTGTTAACATATACACCTGCCTAGCTTCTGAAGTAATCAAAAGTTCGTATTGGATTCATTACAAAGCTTTCATAGGTACACAACAGTATTTGTGCCACTGTTAACATATACACTGTGTTAACATTAACACCTGCCTAGCTTCCAAAGTAATCAAAAGTTCATATTGGATTCATTAGAAAGCTTTCATAGGTACACTATTTGCTTTCAATTAGTTCAACAGAATACCTCCGTCTCCTAAGAAGTTTCATGATTAATCTATATTTCAGCATGGAACTCATTCATGGATCATATTGCCATATACAGTTCTTTCTGACTTCAGTATCAGCATAAGCTATTCAAAATAATGTTGTAATTGTCCCACTAGACATTACTGGGGTCTGGCTGTGGATCATTTCTTTTTTTAACATGTACCTGTAAAAGAGTGTTTTAAGTGGCCTACTGAGAGCAACTAAATTTGGAAAGCAGTATTTGTGCCAAAAGTCAATGCAATATGATCCAGTTACATGAATACCAGTTCGAGTAAATGGAATGCAATAAAAAATCCATTCTTTACATACATTGATTCACCACAGGAAAGCTCTTTAAATCACTTAAATACAAGTCAAGAAGGTAATCATGCTTTCAGGAGCTTGGAATGTCAATGTGTTCATATTATTGGATAATTATATAGATGCAGTATTGATAATATTCACTAACAAAAATGTGGCTTTAGGATTTCACTGACATATTGCCAGACAAATCTGGAATAGGATACAATGCAATCATAATTTTAAATGTACATACAAATACATGTATATACAATAACTGTTCTAGGAAATGCTTAGCTGAAATGTATAACTATACTGCAAAACATGAACTAAGACTGCTGACAAAAGACAATCCTGGACCAAAATGGGACTGTTGGTCTGATCTGGCAGGGTTCTTTATGTTCCTTTCCATACCTATTTCCCACAGTTCTCTGCTGCAAATAATACCAGTTCGAAGTTTTGTTACATGCGTTTACATCCTTTAGTTCTACCCCTCTTCCAAGTCCAAATTTGTTTAGTACATATGTGAGTTGAAGGCATGAGAGAAATGGGAGAAAGGAATTAAAAAATATTCCCCTCTACCACCAATGTTTTCTTCTAATGAACTGTGCTCTCTTTTGTTTTCCTGAGAGTATCAAAAACTCTGCCTTGTCTATGGGTAATTCTGTTTTGCTGCCCTCCTGATTAAACTTCGGTGTTGGACAGAATCAGATGAGTGGCCTGTGAGGAATCACTGGGAGAGGATAAATGATTTAGAAATTTCTGCCCTGCACACAGCTAAATCTTCTCCTCTTCAATCAGTTCTCAGGTGTTTTATCCTTATCTCTGATGTATCTTTCACCAGTTCTCCTGCCACACAAGTATTATCCTGCAAAGTCACAAAGTTCCTTACAAAGCAACTGAATCTGTGAACATAAACTACGATCCCAACACCCTTATACTTGATGTATGTACTTACCTTCTGTAGCATAATGCATATAGTTCATGTCTTCTCATTGTGGTGTTAGGAGACAGCCTGCCACCTTGCACAACTATAACACCCCCCTAGGTACAACTACATTTTTCTTTATAACTGGTCTCAGAACCACAGATTGCCCTCATCCTCCCCTGATACCTAATTCTATATAATTCTAGATTTTGAAGAACTAAACCATCTTTTCCACCATGGTTGACAGATGTTCCAAAAGAGCCACAGAAGATGCACAAAGGCACAAAGGCCAAGGTTATGTTTCTTTTCCAGCATGAGAACTGAACTCAGGATCGCTTGCGCTCCAAGAGAAAATCATACCTCTATATCAACTCTGTATGCAATAAGAATCCCTCTCCTACTTTATTCCCTTCTACATTGCATTTTCCAAAGCATTTTTCCTTAATAAAAGCAACCTTTCTGGTTGCTTTTATGTAACATCTAGTTCAATCCACTTAATCCACAGCCTTCTACAGAATTAAATGCAAAAATTACATACGGAAAATTTATATGCTACCTCTGCAAACCTGCTTGAGGCAGTTTACAACTAAAACAACAGACAAAGCTATTAAAACACAACCATTAAAGCAAAACAAAACCTTTAAAATAAGACGGTTTTTAAAACAAAATTCGGATTTTCTTCTTTTTTGTTTTTTTATTTTACATTAAATTTGTGGACTGTAATTGGACTAGAATCATTTTTGCACAGTGAACATTGGTGGGGTGCAATCTTGAACTATTTGGCTGTTTTCCACTCATCACAGGAATTTGATTATTAAACAATGTGTGGCTGTACCCCAGGCACTTGATTGCTTAGAAATCTTAGGGTCATGTGACTGTCTATAAAATTGTGACGTGCTGATTTAGGCCTGTGCAAAGTCTGTGCAAAGCATATCAGGTGCTTCAGAAGAAGGTCCAAGACAATGGGATTAACCATTCATATTTGGGGAATGAACAGCGGAGTATTAGCTCAGCCTTAAAAGACCATTTTGCCACTGAATTTAGCTATAGTTGCCGATCTCTAGAAATGCGAATAAAATGCCACTTACACACATTCTGAATGTACAAATCAAAATACTATTTATAATGTCTATGACACTACAACAGTGCTATATATTTAATCACAAGTATCAAATATTATCAATTTGCTCCCTAGACCAGAAAACAGTTGCAAAGAGTAAACCATTTAATGGTTCAGTTCTCAGTCACCGCATTACAACAAATCCGTAAAGTATCCCAGTATTGGAAATACTAGTTCTGAGCATGTATCTGTTGAAAGAATTACAAGGGAGTCGTTACTGGCTAAATATAAGGAGAAACTTCCTAACTGTAAGAGTGGTTGAGCAGTGGAACAGACTGCCTCGGGAGGTGGTGGATGCTCCTTCACTGGATGTTTTCAAGCTGAGGCTGTATGACCATCTTTTGGGTATGTTGTAGGGCTATCTTTCGGCTATGCTCCTGCAGAGTGCAGGGGGTTGGACTAGATGACCTACAAGACCCCTTCCAACTCTATCATTCTATGATTCTATGAAAGCAGTTTGGATACAGGTGATCCCTCTAGCACTATGCTTGCACACTACTGGTTATTAACCATTATGGATGTTGACTAATAGGGCAAATAGCCCACACTGCTGGTCATTCACTAGCAATGGTCTACATGGTAGTGACAGAACCAACGTTAATCTCTGCTGCCTCTGACAGATTACCACCAATAAGGATGGGTATTCTTCCTTAGTCACCACTCAGTGACACTAGTCATTCTCTGAATTTTGTCCAGTACTATCAGCTACTGTTGATTATAACCTTAGCCCCAGTTCCTAATTGTCTCATAATGTGGCATTATATGGAAAGAAAGTGCCTTTCATCACTAATAGTCACCAGCTACCAAAATAGGTACAGGCACCCCTGCTTCAAGATTTCAGTTTCATGCTCTCTCATCATCTCACAGTCCTCAGACCTGCTGTTTGATAGGGAGGAACAAAGAATGTTCTTCACCCACATACACCTTTCTATTTCTTCCCTCTTCCAGCAGGCCCAGAAACAAAAACAAAAAAACAGGTGTTCTGATTTTATGAATGTAAAATTTATCCACTGACTATGAACCCCAGACATTTTAATGAAAAACTGTACCTGGTAGATGTCAGATAAACTGCTGCTCCCAGAGTCACTGGCAATGCTGCAACCAGACTGGCTTGAAGGGACATGTGTGACTTGTGCATGTTGACCATCTGCTAGGTGCATTTTGGTAAGGTCTGCTGGAAGCTGGATGGAAAATAATGGAAGGGATGGATGTTAAATAAGTTTTCGGCTTCAACTGGCACAGAATATACAGTTGAAATTGGCAATATTTAAAAGTAAGCCTAATTAATAATTATGTGTCAAACTAGAAAGAATTTAGGAATACACATTGATCATAAAACCCTAGGAAGCCTCAGTATGTCACCTTGAATTCTATTATGCATAAAAGGCAGGAAATATAATATAAGTTTTATTTATTAATATTTGTGAAAATGGCACCTGAATTCCAAATACTACATACATATAAGACAGGGACAATGCACTCTTAATATTATGTTTATGTAAAAGACTGCAGCAATAGAGATAGTTTAATTTAATTACCAGTAAATACAGTATCTTGTATTGCTTTAAACTTCCTTCTAATCTACTAGAGAGAGAATATACTGCCACAAATCCATTCACATGGACCCATTTAAATTCTTTACAACAATACATTTACCAATAAAATTACCATTAAAATTCTCATCAATTCCTAGGGGAAAATGTCCATTCATCACTAGGAATGAAATCAAACAAGCCTGTAAGATTTAGTTAAGCACCCTAGAGAAAGTGAACATCCACCACTGCAAGATTCTCTGCAGCAACAGGTCCTGTGAAAAAGGTAGCAACGTAAGCCAGAACAATCTATGAGGAGAAAGAAATCACTGCCAACATCCTCAGTGCTTTCCCAACTGCGAAGCACAGCGGTATTGATAGCAGCTGTCTCTTCCTCCTGTAGAAGATCCAGCAACCTCAGATCTGCTCTGCCACATCTTTCTCAAGTGAAACTATTTCTCCCAACCTTATTTTGTAAGAAAGAAAACAGCTCCAGCCACACCATCTAGAACCATGGGAAGAAAGACTCAACATTCTTCTCCTCAGTGGTCTCTACAATTGTAATGCAGAATCTTACTACACTGCCATCAACATCTGCCCTCCCCACTGGAAGATGAATCTTTCCAGGGGAGGAAGATTTGACATGGGCTCTCTAAAGAAAACAGCAGTGGAGCAGCAATACCTGAAGAAAAGGACTGAATTTCACACATATCTCTTGTAGTACCACCTTCTGTCATCACAATGATTTTGTGCTATTCATTGTAAATTGTTTACATTTATTTTTTACTTTAAACTGTCGAGAGCCTATTCTACTGAAAGATGGTCCATAAGTATAGTTGGTTAGTAAATATATAAAAGCATCAAGATGGGTAGTCATGTTAGTCTGTCTGTAGCAGTAGAAAAGAGCAAGAGTCCTACTGATATAAAACCATACAACTCACAGGATATTTAAAAGACTCCCACTAGCTGTTTGATGTTCCAACTCCAACCCCAGTTCTGGTGCTCTGTTATTAACACCTGTACCAATGGACTCTTCTTGCCTATATCCAAATACGATTTCATTCATGCTGGGAGAGGACATGGAGAATCTGGCTAGCTTACACAGCAGGTGTCACTGAAGGCACTATGAGATGGAACTATAGTTCAATGATAGAACACATTTTTCCTCATGTGTAAAAAGTTCAAAGTTATTTCCTGGCACTTTCAACTGAAAATATATTTGGTAAAAGTGATGGGGAAAACTTTTGCCGAAGGCCTTGTAGAATCTTGATGCAGTTCCACAGGGCCTGTAAAACAGAAATGTTCCACCAGGCCTATGGTTGAGGCAGCAGGAACCCAAACTGTACTGGCCTCCCTCTGCTCTGTTCTGTTCCATCTGCACTGCTTCCATCTTGCATTGATTTCATCTGCCCAGCCTCCCTCAACTTTAGTTACATCTACCTGCACACATATAGGGAGTTCTGGGAGCAGATAAATGTTTGGTGCCATTGACAGTGGTCTATTAGAGGGCGGAGAGCCAGTTTAGTGTAGCGGTTAAGAGCGCAGACTCTAATCTGGGAGAACCGGGTCTGATTCCCCACTCTCCACATGCAGCTGCTGATGTAACCGTGGGTCAGTCATAAGTTCTTTCAGAGCTGTTCTCTCAAGGGCAGTTCTCAAAAGAGTTCTCTCAGCCCCACCTACCTCACAGGGTGTCTGTTGTGGGGAGGGGAAGGGAAGGAGATTGTAAGACGCTTTGAGACTCCTTCGGGTAGTGAAGGGTGGAGTATAAATCCAATCTATTTTCTTCTTCTTCTTAGTATAAATTGAGATAGATACTTTAAAAAAAATTTTATGTCTTAACTGGTTTTATTGTGCTGTTTGTACAATAATGTAACCTGCCCTGAGCCTGCTTGTGGGGGAGGGCAGGCTAGAAATCCAATAAAATAAATAAATAAATAAATAAATAAATAAATAAATAAATAAATATCACTGCCAAACGGTATAGCAAATTCTGAGCTAGATGGACCAACAGAATAAACACTTCATGTATGTTACTTGTCATCACATCTAGATTTTGTTATTTAGAGTGTTTAAAATGAAAAGTGTGACACGTCTGCATAAGCACAGGATGCAACTGTAGCCACAGAAGGCAAATAGGCTGCTATTTTTGCTGCCTCAGCAAAATTTTTAGAATCAATCATTCAGCGGCCTCATGGATAGAAAATAAAAATATTTCATAAATTGTATACCAAAAGACAATGCCTTTCTTTGAAACTGTATTCAAGAATACAGCTGTTTCTAGGACATTATAATGTAATAATGATATTAATAATTCATTTTGGATAATAAACAGTCCTTAGCACATCATTTTAAGGGAAAAAATTCAACTTCAAATGGCTCTCCAAATAAAATATTTATATCAGGCTACATTTTCAGATGTGTCTTAATGCCTCTGTTTTAAGTGATATATCATACAAGGCCCTATTTCTTCAGTATAACGTTTCAGAGCACACCTTGATTTAATTCCATTTTACATAATTTTATAATAATTTTTGTAAATCTGTGCATCTAAAAAAGGAAATTAAAATTGTAAACAGAAACACTGTGCCCATTTTAAGAATCTGAATTCAGTATTTTCCTGGAAACTTCTACTGAAGAACAGCAGATGCAAATTAGTGAAATTGTTCCAAGGACATCAGGAAGTTTCCAAATTTGGATAGCAATTTCGAAGGCCAATTTATAGCAGATTGGCCAGACTGTTAAATGGCTTGGAATTTTTTTAAAAAAAAATCCCTGGCTGGGAGTTACTTGGTTTTTTGTCACTACTTTGGATGAGGACTTTACATATATTTGTATAATCCCTTTCATAACTATAAAGGGAAATCTGACAAGGCAGACTATGAATAATACAGAGTACTAGGTATTCCATTTAGTGTGCATGTGAAAACATCTGACTACATATATTAGTAACTTGGCCATTTATGCTGGTACGTCTGAATCACACACAACTGCTCATTACCTAACATCTTGGTAGATTCAACACTATATTGTACAGTTAAATGAAAATGCTACCTTGAAGTGTTAAAAGATGGCTAATATAAAACTATGAACAACAATAAAAAGTACATTACACTAACATCAACTGAAGACTATTTACACATAAAACATCAGGTATAGTAATATCAACAGGCGCTGTCCCCCAACCAGTTTGGCTCACAGGCCTTCCAGAATATAATCCACAAAGCCTGCAATGATGGCACCACTCTCATTTCCAGAGGGAGAGAATTCTACAAGGACCTCCACTGAGTCCTGACTAAGGATGAGCACAGATCAGAAAAATTGAGGTACATATAGATTTGTGGTTCATGGGCCTCATGGACCATGAATTTTCACAGACTTTTTTGTTTAATGAACCAGTTCGTAGTTTGTGCAGTTAGTGACTCTGGGACACGGTAGAACGGGGGCCCATATGCTAAAGATGCCAAACTCACAGTAAGACTCCAGCTGACTCTCCTCTACCTGCTCTCCAATTGGTAAAGATCGGATTTAGGAGGCGGAGATACTGCCACCCAAAGCAGATGCCCACAGGAAAGTGCTCTTTGGGGAAATCACAGCTGCAGCTTCAGGAGTGTGTCAAATAGACCCCTTGCAAGCTAGAAATAACTCACAGAGGACCTCCCCAGGATGCCCCTCTGCCTGCCCTCCAAGTTGTGTGCAGATTGACTTTGGGAAAGGGGGGAAAGATCCCTACGGTCCAGTTTGCAAAGAGGGGGAATGTGTCAAATGGCTCCTTTGCAGGCTAGAAGAGGAGGAGGAAGAAGAAGAGATTGGATTTATACCCTGCTCTTCACTTGGAGATTCAGAGCAGTTTATAATCTCCTTCCCTTCCTCTCCCCACAACAGACACCTAGTGAGGTAGGTGGGGCTGAGAGAACTCTCAGAGAACTGCTTGAAAGAACAGTTCTGCAAGAACTGTGGCTGACCCAAAGTCACCCAGCAGCTGCATGTGGAGGAGTGGAGAATCAAACTCAGTTCTCCCAGATTGGAGCCCATGCACTTAACCACAACACCAAACTCACAGCAAACCTCCTGGGATCTCCCTCTACCTGCTCTCCAAGTGGTGTGCAGATTGGCTTTGGGGAAGGAGGAAAAGATCCCTAGGGTGCAATGTGCAAAACAGGGGGAAGACTGTCAAAACCCCCCCCCCGCAAGCTAGAAGCATCAAACTCGCAGCAAACCTCCCCAGGATGCCTCTCTACTGCCCTCCATGTGGTGTGCAGATTGGCTTTGGGGAAGGGGGGAAAGATCCCCAGGGTCCAATGTGCAAGGGGGGGAGAGTGTGTCAAACAGCCCCCCTGCAAGCTAGAAGCATCAAACTTTCAGTAGACCTCCCTGGGTTGCCCCTCTACCTGCTCTCCAAGTTGTGTGCAGATTGGTTTTGGATTACAGCTCATCTCCAGATGCAGTCTGCTCCCATGGAGCAGAATATAAACTTACTTATTGGCAGCCATAGCTGCCGGTCAAGCTTTGGATGGTCGGTATTTCCAGGGCTGCAGAAGGGCTGTAGAAGAACATCCCCCCTGGTCACCTTGACAATTAATCCCCTAGTGTTGGCTTGTCTGGCTCACGGACTGCTCCCACTAACTAAACAGACCGCCTGGAAAAAA